TCTGCAGGCGCCTCAAGAAGCGCGCAGTCCACGACAGGGCCATGAGCTTATCCAAATGGAGGGCTACCAAGGGCATGCAGCACGTGAACGATTTCATTGCCGCGCTCCCTCTAATGGCTCCATTGGTAAACGGCCTCGTTGCTCGCCCCCACTTTGGTGGCGCATACGTCCTGGAGTATTTCTGCCCCGTCAGGAAGATTATCCCCAGGATGGTGGGCTTGCTGGCCAAGTCCGAGAACGCCAAGATCAGGGAGGTGGTCACCAGCTATTACGACAAGCTTCACGATGAGAAGAGAGATGCTTCCCAGCAGGACTTCGACGAGACGCCTAAGAAAGCTCACCAGAAACAAAGTTGTATCGACGCAGGCGTGTGCTTGTGTGGCCCGAAGGGGGACCTCGTCTGGAAGTTCAAAAAATGGGTTGGTAGTGGCATCAAGTTATACTGCAAATCTACGTCTATGAGGGATGCATTGTCGTCTGGCGATATCGTCGTTAAGATCCATCACGTGCCAGAGGATTCGAGTGGGGATGCCGCCAGCGCTGGAGACGTTGCAGGTGATGAGGCTGGCCCGATGGGCGAATTTGTGACTTACCTTCATATCGGCCTGATGTATTTCTCGCCGTACAGGCCAACTTATCGCCAGTGCGTACCAGCGGATGTCGGTGTGCTCGGTGACGGCGCTATCGTGCTGGATTGCCTGGACGACTACCTGACGAACTTCGAGGTCGCCGACAGCTTGTATGCGTACTTTTCGAAGCCAAGCACTTGGAGTTTGTCTGTTATGCGGGTGCAATCCTCGTCCAGGCCCGTATCGCCCATACGGCCGTCACAGCTGGTGGTTGGCAATATCGAAGATGACCGAGAGTTTACGCGACGTTGGCCAGCGCCCAGGCGCAAAAAACGGAAACGACCTGATGACAATGGGTGGTTGGACGACCTTGACGAGTTGGGCGAGGATGGCGCCGACGGCGAGGACGAAGGCGAGGACGGCGACGGCGACGGTGACCCCGAGATGGTCGAGCCCGAGCCCGATAATGACATTCATGGCGAGGGAGGGTCTATCAAGTCTCTTTCCTACGACGGCTGGGAGAGCCCATCATCGGTTGCAAACACTGACGAGTTGTTCGGGAGTGACCACGGTGGTGAGGCCATTCTGTCAGATGAGGTCGACGACGTATCAGTTGACAGCGGACACGGTGACGACCCTGGTGGTGATGATCCTGGTGGTGATGATCCTGGTGGCGCCCCTGATCCAGGCGGCGGTGGTGATGGTCCTGGTGGCGACCCTGATCCAGGCGGATGCGGCGGAGGCCCTCCTCCACCCCCACCTCCGCCGCCAGGCGGCGGTGGTGGTCCTCGCGACCCAGCAGACATCACATTCGTCACGCCCTACGGCATCATCCGATACTACGCGAAGAAGCTAGAGTTAGTTGCACATTGCCCCAGGCACGGGGGCAAATGCAGATTGACCAGGACCGTGCGAGGATCAACTGCCCATTGGAGGGCTGGTCAGGGCAGGCCGCTCGGCGCCCTCATGCTGTGGCTGAAGAGGGGCACGGGCGACGACTTCGACACCCTCCACGACCATGTCCATTGCTGCGCTCTGCCCTTTGGCGACAGGCAGGCCGCCAGGGAGGAGCTCAGGGCCGTGCCAGGCAGCGGCGCGCTCTTCGCCGTTGAGCGCGACCGCAGGCCAGACGAGCCCGACGAGCCCGAGTCTGTTCCCTGAGAACTGCTCTGCTTGCGCAGCGTCTGGCTGCGCAGCTTGAAAAAAAACCCAAAAATCCATCACAACGCATCTAACCATCCTCCTCATCATCATCAGCATGTCCACTACCATCCAAGAGGAGGGATGAGGATGAGGACGACGAGGTGCACGAGGAGCAGGAGCAGGGACAGGAGCAGGAGCAGGGGGTGAGGAGGTGCACGATGAGGAGGGGGGCCAGGAGGAGATCGGAGGAGGGGGAGGGGGACGAGGAGGGGGGATGAGGAGGAGGAGGAGGACCAGGATAGGGGGAATGAGGATCAGGCAAATGGGGCATGAGCAGGAGGGGGGAGGCGGAGGAGGGGGAGGATGACGAGGACGAGGGAATGGAGGAGGAGGAGGCGGCACAAATAATGCCAAATATAGGCATTCTTAAGCTCCAAGAGAGATTCCAACAATGCCCCAAGATGGCTCCAAGAGAGGCCCTAGATAGGCTCCAATGGGGGCTCCAAGAGGTCTCCACGAGAAACTCCACTAAGGCCCCAGGAGGGCCCCATCATGCCAAATAGAAGCACACCAGGGGCCCCAATTTGGAACCAAGGGGGGTCCCAATGATGCCCCAATATGGCTCAAACATACGCCCAGGAGGTGCCCCAACAGAGGCTCCAATATGGCTCCAATAGGGGCTCCAATAAGGCACCAACGGGGGTCACTAGGGCATAACATCGGCTCCAATAGAGGCTCCAATAATGCCCCAAGATGGCTCCAGGTGAGGCCCAGGAGAGGCCCCACTAGAGGCTCAAAGATGGCCCAAGAGAGGGCCCAATAAGGCCCCATGAGGCTCCAATCAGGCCCAGTATAGGCACAATAGAGGCTCCAATCTGGTATGGCTCCAACAGAGGCCCAAATAAGGTCCCAAGGTGGCCCCAAGAGACTCCCAGGAGAGGCCCAATTGAGGCTCCAAGATGGCTCCAGGAGAGATTCCAGTAAGGCCAAATTGGGGAGGGCACTAAGGCCCAATATCGGTCCCAAGAGAGGCTCCATATGCCCTGGAGGGATGTCCCTGCAAGGGGACGGTGGAGTTTCTGAGCCCCCAAACCCGCGTCCGTGCAGGAGCAGAACCGAAAAACTGTTGTCATGTTTTTCCTCTCTGCGAAGTACACAGGCACATCAGGGAAATGTTGATTTGTGTTTTTCCCTCGTGCAAACGGACCACAGCGTGCAGGTAAAAAAACAAAGGGAACGGGGAAAAAAAACACCTTCAGCCGGAAATCCTGAAATGAAAATTTCCCTCGCTGGAACCCACGAACGCACGAGGGGCAAACATGCAATAGAAAATTTCCCTCTCTGTAACTGACGAAAGTACACGGGGGGATCTGATTTCCTCACCGGTAACTGATGTTGGTACTTGGGTAGAGAAAATTTCCCTGGGGGACCTCTTGACGGCCGCTGGGCTCTTCGGGGACTCGGGCCCCTTGGGGCCTGCGCTGGCCTCTTGGGACCTCTTGGGGGCATCTTGGGCCTCCCCGCTGACCTCTTGGGCCCCCCCGCTGGCCTCTTGGAACCTTTTGGCTTTTTGGGGCCTCTTGGGAAAAATGCAATCTTGGGGCCGGTTTATTTCTTGGGGTGAGTTTCGGGCGATGTAGGGCTGGGCTGGTAGATCGTATGCGTTTTCAAAGGAGGGGGCCCTACTGGGGCCCTTGGCGATTCCCCATGGACGTTCCTGGAGCGTTTCGGGGCTTTCGGGGAAGTCCCGTGTGCCAGAAAATGCCAGGGACAGCCGGCTATTTTGAAAGATTTCTGGGGTTTGCGTACTCGATCATGTTAAGGTCCTTGTAAGGGGTTTTACGAGGGCCCTCTCAAACGTCATCTCGTTGGAGCATACATAACGCTTGAAAGTTATGGGGCGATCTTCGGATTTGGGGTTAGGGGTTATCTTAGGATTCGGAGTTAGAGGTTTTCTTAGGATCAGGGTTAGGGGTAGGGTTAGGAACCCTTAGGGTTAGGGCTAGGGGCCCTTAGTGTTAGTGGTTATCTTAGGATTAGGGGTTATCTTGGGACCAGAGGTTATGGTTATCTTAGGATTAGAGTTAGGGGTCGGATTATGGTTAGGATTATGGTTAGGGGTTAGGATTAGGGTTAGGGGTTATCTTAGGGTTCGGTATAGGGTTATATTAGGATGATGTCACGACCCCTTCTTCACCAGGGGGGCGTAACAAAAAGGGGTGGGGGGGGGTCCTTAGTGTTAGGGGTTATCTTAGGATTACGGTTAGGGGTAGGGTTAAAGGCCCTTAGGGTAAAAAGGTAGGGGTTGGGGTAGGGTTAGAGGTAGGGTTAGGATTAGGATGAGTGTTAGGGTTAGGGTTAGGGGTAGGAGTAGGGGTCGGGTTGGGGATCGGGTTAGGGGCCCTTCGGGTTAGGGGCCCTTAGGGTTAGAGTTAAGTTTGTACCAGGGGCGGGGGTGGTATATCTTGGAGCCCTTAAGGTTCGAGTTTATACTAGGGACTAGGGGTTGGGTTAGAATGCTCTAGGTTGGATGTTATCATAGGGTTAGGGGTTGGGAATTGTTTAAAGGGCTAGGAGTATATTAACGTTGAGGTTCAGGGTTCTATCAGGGGCAGACTTATGGGGTTATCTTGAGGATAGGATTCGGGTTAGGGTTATGGTTAGGGGTGTATTGAGGTTAGGGTTAGGATTAGGGTTGGGGGTCGCATATCTTGGGGCCTTCAGGATTAGGTTTATCTATGAGTTACAAGGGGACATTATCTACAACAAAAAATACATCCTGAGGGCCGCCTGGGCTTTAGACCGTTCCGGAATAATGACAATATTATGGGCAAGGGGCCCCTGATAAGTTCGAGCAGGGGTTGACGCGTGCATCGGCAATTTCGTTGGCTTTATAGGACCCATGAGAGGGGCAGCCCAACATGTGTGATAATGTTTTCTGGTTGCTCGGGTGCCCAGACGGAGCGGCTTCCGTGATTCAGCGAGGTAGCTAAGAGGTAGCTCGGACATCGGTGCTTCTTCGCCGTTGCATAGCATGTTATATCTAGGATCTAGGGCGAGCTAACGAGGTAGCTATGAGAAGCGGTGCTTTGATCTGCGGCCCCCCTCGTCGTCGCCCCTCCCCCCCGATATCCATGTACGTAACCATTTTTGCGGATCAGGTTCATAGTTTCAGGTGAACTCGCCACACTGCGACATGCTAGTGTACTGAGCGAGTGCACAGAGCAGCCCCTGATGGCTGCTACTGCAGCGGGCAGCGTTGCGAGGGCACCGCGTCGCGGTGCCAAGTGTGCGTGCTCGTTCTGCGAGCTGCAGGTGGCGCTGGCCACGTGCGAGAAGTTCGGAGACCTCTTCTTGTGCAGGGAGTGCGGCGAGTTCGGCGACCAGTCTGGATTCGAGTTGAAAGCGTTGGCATCGATGAAGCCCAAGTCGCCAGCCAAGTGGAAGGAAAGGAAGGCGCAGAAGGAGGAGTGGGCCAAGGGCAAGGCTGTCGCTGAGGACGACAGGGAGTTCCCCCAGGAGGAGGTCTACGAGGAGACGATTCAGGATAGCTCCTTGTCAGAGGAGTGCACCTTCCAGTCGCGCGACGACTTTAAGGAGGAGCACGGCTGCCTGCCAGACCAGGCGAAGGTGATGACGCTGCGCGTGACGAACTCTAAAGGCGAGGAGTCTTTCGGCGCGGTGCTGGCCACGGAGACGGATGCACCTCCGAAGCTGACGGTGACCACGACGAGGAGGCTCGTCAGGAGGACAGCCAATCCTCGAGAAGGGCCGCAGCTTCTACAAAGCTCAGGCGGGCAACCTCTTTGAGAACATGTCGGCTGATCGGTCGCGCGCGCGCGGGCAGAAGTTCGGGAACAAGTACCAGCCGAAGGCCAAGAAGTTCAGCGCCTACAAGAAGGATGCGATCAAGCAGCTCGTGAAGAGGAACGTCGAGAGGCCCCAGGGGTTGCGTCGCATGGTGCGCGATGGTGATGTTCCTGATGACTCTGGCTCGGACGCGGGGGGCGCGTCGTCCGAGGCTGAGGCCGAGGCCGAGCAGGAGGCAGCTGCAGGCGCAGCACAGCAGCAAGTTCCTCCAGCGACCGACGCTGGGCAGGCTTCGGCGTCGGCTGGGCCCCAGCACTCAGACGCGCCAGAGACGCCCAGGGCACCGAGGACCTCAGCAGCGGCGGACAGCTCCAGGACCAAGGAGAAGCGCACGTCCGAGAAAGCGAGCCCGACCCTCGCGTTGGCCCCGAGCTCGAAGAAGGCAAAGCCAGGCACGAACGTCGCGCCGTCGATCGCCGATACGGCGGCCACGGGCGTGGACGGCGAGGGTGGCCGCCTTAAGCCGCCCGAGCACTGGCACGAGACCATCACCCCGTCGAGAGTGTTCGCGGGCGCCCCCCTGAAGAGGCACGTGGGCTGGGCAAGGGATTGCGTCAAGCGCATCGCTGGCCAGGGCGAGTCGGTGAAGGCCAACCACTTGACCGAACACATCGACGCAATCGATCTTTGCATGGAGCTGATGACTGAGCTAGCCAATGAGAAAGTGACCTTCGTTAGCCTTAGCACCATCTTGGGGAAACTTGTGACGAAGAAGGTGGACTTCGATTCGAACATCAAGAGCAAGCTTTTGGGGAAGAGATTGTTCTCATCGATTCTGGCTTTCTCGAGTGGAGATACCGACGACGCCTGCATCAAGGAGATCGTGGATACCGTCATGCCTTTCACGGTTGAGAAGCTGGACGCGAGCCAGGAGGTGACCTGCGATGACGACGGCGACGAGAAGATGGCCCCAGACCCCGAGGAGTTCGACCCCATGAAGGTTAGCATGGCGACTATCGACGGCTCGAGTGACTCCAGGATGACGTTGCTCCTGAGCGTGCTCCTGAAGGAGATCGTCCCAGCGGTGATGCAGGTGGATCAGGCTGGCCAGGTAGCAGCGTCGCGCCTGTGCGCTGCCATGCTGAGTCGGTTTGAGGCAGGCGTCGCAGAGATGGAGGAGATCCCCTCCGCCGCGAGCGACACGTTGGCCGTGCTTCGCGTCATGTGCGCCCTCAGCGACAGCACTGCCGACATGGACTTCGATGCCTTGGACGAGTTCTTCCTCCAGCAGGCCAAGAAGACCAAGGGCGCCCTCGCGGACCTGGGAGTGATGATTCGCTTGAATGAGCACTGGAAGGAGATCTACGAGGAGCTGCAGACCACCATCCAGGATGCCAGGGAGTGGATGCCGAAGATCTTCAAGAGCGCTGCCCAGGTCAAGGCACTCAAGACCAGCGAGGCTCCCATCAGTCTTCCCAGCGCTATCATCGACGAAGCTTTCGACATCCTGAAGTCCTGCCGAACGATCCTGAGGGCCGGCTCCACCCACACTTTGGAGATCGAGATCGCTGGGGTCCTCGGCGTGATCCAGTCGAAGATGTTCGACAAGAGCGGCGTGGTCAATGGCGGGGACGGCTACAGCAAGGCCGAGCTGCTCGCAGCGGATAAGATGTTCAAGGACAGCCTGGACCTCAAGTGCTGGGTCGAGGAGTTCGGCATCGGCGCGAGGGAGCACATCGGCGCCGTGATCGAGAAGGCAGGAGCGAAGGAGATCATGAACGGGCTGAAGGAGATGATGATGGGCGGCGCCAAGGACGAGGCGGGCAACATCGACATTGAGAAAGTTCGTGCCGTCAAAGTCGCGCTGCACAACCTCACCGAGAGCTCACTCGATGTCGAGGGCAAGGAAGCGGTCGCGTCCTTCTGCAGCCGCGTGTGGGACGCTATCAAGGACGCGGTGAACGCGAGCAATGGCGAGATTGCAGGTGTCATGAAAGACATCGCATTGGTGGCGGGCGACGGCATCACCGACATCTTCAAGGCGTTCCACGCTGCAGGCGAGACGAAGTTCAGCATTGCAGCGCACGTCTCGATGACCAGCGGCAGCGAGGACGGCTCTGGAGTGACGGACGAGGGCCCATGAAAAGCACGAAGACCATCATCCTGAAAGAGATCGCGCTCGACCAGGTCATGCAGAGCATCCCCGAGTGCGAGCAGAAGGAGGTCCTGGTCGCTGCCCACACGAGCGCGAAGAACTACATCCAGACCGTCGGAGACCAGGCGATGGGGATATCCAAGGCCGAGCTCGACAACAGGGTGAACCACGCTGCGAAGTGGGCCAAGGGCGGTGCTGACGGTGAATCGTGGTGGGGGTCAGCGAACGACGCGAACGACCTCAGCGAGCTGCTGCCCATGGCGAAGGAGACCGTGTGCAAGCACGCGTCGGAGAGCTTCAACGTCGAGAAGACCAAGATCCAGGAGCTGCTCAAGTCGTACACGGAGGTGGCCAGCGTGTTCACTCGCGTGCCGAGCCCCGACTCCACCAAGACGGCGAACGACGTGATGAAGGCTCTGGCGCAGAGCCACATCGAGGGCATGGTGGCCGCGCTGTTCACCGCCAAGTACAGCAAAGAGGAGCTCAAGAAGAAGGTGTTCGCGCTCAAGAGGCTCGCGACGAAAGAGGGTGCGAAGTGGGGCCAGATGCCGTCGGCGCTCGTGGAGCGCGCAGTCAAGGCAGCGAAGCTGCAGTAATGTGGTCGACAGCTGGGATGCTGCGACGTGGGGTGGGTTAAAAAGAAATGGAAAAGAATACTCAGGTACTCGTCGTCGTCGTCGTCCTCCTCACCCTTGTCGTCGTCGTCGTCGTCGTCGTCGTCGTCGTTTTCGTAGTCGTCGTCGATCGTCGATCGTCGATCGCCGATCGTCGTCGTCGTCGGCGATCGTCGACCGTCGGTCGTCGATCGTCGATCGTCGTCGTCGTCGTCGTCGTCGTCGTCGTTTCGTAGTCGTCGTCGATCGTCGATCGTCGATCGCCGATCGTCGTCGTCGTCGGCGATCGTCGACCGTCGGTCGTCGATCGTCGATCGTCGTCGTCGTCCTCGGGGCGGGCGCGGCGTCCGCCTGTCATCAGCTTCGGCCTCTTCCCAGGACAGCCCGCCAGCCCGCGGCCCGAGGGAGGATGAGGCATGGAGGGAGGAGGAGGGGGGAGGGAACGGGCGGGGTAGGGAGGTGGACGGCAGGCGGGAGGGAACGTACAGGAAGGGAAAACACCAGGAAAAAGGGGGGGTGACGGCGCGGGGGGGCGGTAGGACGAGGGGGAGTGGATGAATGCGAAGACGGATGAATGATAAGGCATGGGAGTGGACAAGTTGGATAGCCGCGAGGGGCGCGAGGATGCGGTTGGGCAAGGAGGAGGCGAAAGGCGAGGATGAGGTGGGTAATGTGGAGGCGCATGGAGGGTGTAACAGGAGGGCTCCAAGATATGTTAAGCCTAGCTCTAACCCCCACCCCAATTACAAGATAGCCGCTAAAGCTAACGCTAAAACTACCTCTAAGATAGCACATAACCCTAACCCTGAGATAACCCCATAACCCAAACCATCATATAACCTCTAACCTGCGGTGGCCCCGAACCCCTCGCCCTTAGATGACCCCTAACCCAAAGTACTCTAACATTAACCTCAAGACAACTCCTAACCCTAAGGGCCCAAGGTACACTGACCCTAACACCAACATATCTTTGACCCCTAACCCTAAAGGCCCCTAACCCAGATGGCATTATGGGGGGGAGGATGATAAGGAGGTGGAGGAGGAGGAGAAGGATGAAGAGAGGGAGGAGGAGAAGGAGGGGGAAGAAAAGGGGATAAGGAGGAGGAGGGGTAGGATGTGTGGGAGGATGGGGAGGAGGAGGAAGAAAGGGGACGGGGGGAGGAGGAGAAGGAGGAGGATGAGGAGGAGGAGGCCGTTTTTTGTGGATACAAACACGGATGCGCCGTATGGCGCGAACAACTCGGGTATAGTTGCCCGTGATAGTGGTAGCGGAACTGTAGTGCGACCCCCCATGATTTGTTGCGCCAGCAACGGCTGCATCTTGCTAAGCAGCCTTCTTGGTAGCGGATCTTGAGATTGCGCGGCGTGCCGTGGTACATTCGGCCTGTGTTATTGATGTCATGTCGGGCGTGCGTGCGCATGAATGAAACTATTGTGTTGGCGCGTGAACCGCTCGCTATGGTGCGCCCAAGCACACGGAGATACAAAAAAAAAACAAAAAAAAGCGGCGCGGAGAAGGAAAACGTGCATATGGAAAAAAGAAAGGGTTTGAGGAAAAAAACATGAACCCTGACATAGCTCTTGCGGATGCTCTGCGGATGCTCTGCGGGTGCTTTCGGGTGGGCCTGCGGATGCCTCTGCGGGAGCCTGGCGGGGAAAAAAACAAAAGAGTTCCCGATGTGGCCCTGTAGGATGATCTGCCGACATAACACTAGCATGTGGTAGAATGCGCACTGGATGTTTCCCTGAGCAAGAACGACGGGCTGACGCGACTCGAGAGCGGACCGAGCCGCAGCCGTCGGAAGTGTCGTCTTGGGTGGGGTCTCGAAATCCTCGTTCGCAGCTCTGGTGTCGAAGACGAGTCTCAATGATCCTCGGCAGCCTTCTCAACAGAGAAAAATCCAAAACTGCATGGACCCGCAGCTTTCGCAACACGGACACTGATCACCCCACGCGCGAACAACTTCCCAACGAAACCAGCATAGGCACGGGGGCTGTTGGCCAAAATCGGGCCCACGTAAGGCCGCGGCGGTACTGTCGCAGCTCGGGCAGAAGAAGCAGACGTCTCACCTCTGAACATAGTCCGTCTCCATCCCAACAAGAACTCACGATCGGCCTGATCCACCAGCTCTGTGACCTCCACAGGCGTCGTAGACATGTCAGGCCAAGACACGAGGTCCTTGCTGTAGGGCTTGACGCGCTGGGACCCCGCAGAATAACCGGGCGCCGATGCGAGCAGCTCTGCGAGGGCTGCTTCGCCAGAAAGTCGACCCTCATGGAAGTCAGAGGAAGGGGGACATCCCGATGAGCCTGGCTGATGTGGTCCATCGCGCTCGCCTGGGCTGCTGATGCCGTCAGCCCTGGGGGCGCAGTCACGCCCGCAACCTGGCCGCTCGTCTGGCTCAGCGCTGAGATGCCGTCATTGGCCCAGCGCCTCCAGGCGGCCTCGCGCTGGGCGCGCCGCCGCCCTCGCCGGCCGCGGCAAGCGGCTGCGCGCTCATCCAGCGCAAGCGGCGGCGAGGGAAATGCATCCCGCTGGCGCTCTCCAGGCGCCATCGCTGGCAGCGGTGCGGGCAACAGCTGACGCGCCGCGGCTGAGTAAAAGTGGCGGAGGCCGACGCGCGCGACGAAAATACAAGGATCGCCCAAGCGGCACCGCAGCGCCTGCACCCGCCTGGGAGAAGCTTCCAAGGGCCTATGCGCGCGCCGCCCGCTCCTCGCGGGCTTTGCGCCTTTCCTCTGCTCCGCAATGAACTCCGCGAGCGCTGGCGAGATGCAAAGGTTTCCCTTGCTCGCCGCCGCGCCCATGTAATGCTCGGCCTCCGAAGCAAGCAAGCTCTCGCTCGCCCCGAGGCCCTTCTTCTGGTCTTTCTCTCCTCGGCGGCCACCTGCGCCGACGCGGTATCCTCATAGTGGCGCTCTTCGGTGAGCTGGGTCTGGCGGCACACCAACTCGAACGCCGCCAATTCCGCGGTGTTGAGCTGGTCGTACCAGGTGGCCATCTCCAGCAGCCTGCTGTTCATCTCGTGCTGCTGGCAGACAGCGTCGGAATCCCGCAACCGAACCTCGGCCTTCCACTTCGAGTGCCGCGCGAGCGGCCCCCCTGCGTCCCGACGCACGTGGTCAAGGCACCACTGAGTAGTCCTGGGGCCTTTGGTCGGCCAGTCGTCCCTCGGCGTGGTAGTCGAGTCCCTCGCGGCAAGCTGGCGACGTCCCAGCGGATCCAATGCCAAGGGGAACACACGGCAGTCCACCGCCGCGGGGGGAGCCGCCGCCACCAGTGCCCCAGCAGCCGCAGCGCCGCCGCCGCCGCCGCCAGCCCCCGCGCCTCCCCCTACGCCGAGGGGTGGCAGCGGCACGCCCAGCGCAGCCGCCAACGCGCCAGCGCCTGGCCCCGCGGCCGCCTTCCCCTCCAGCGCCGCCACCAGCAGCGGCCGCGCCAGCTCCGCCAGCCGCCACCGCGGGGGCCACCACGGCTGCGCCGACGGGGCCGTCCAGCGCCAGCGTCTGGGGCACCCGGGCAGCTCCCGCCCCAGCGCCTCCAGCCAGAGCGAAAGGCGAAGGCGGCAATGCGGCGTCCAGCAACAGCGCGCCGTCGCGCAGGTAGCCCCACAACTCCGCCGCCGAAGGCGCACCGTGCAAGCGGTATACGTTGGCCTCCGCCACGCCATACAAAGGAGCCCCGAGCCCGCGCAGCGGCCACACCTCCTCGCAGTCGGCGTTGACCACCACCGTCTCCAAGTACACGTCCCCGTCAACTGTAACGACGACCGCCTGCGTGGGGGGCACATCGAACAGCGTGATCCTCTCGTGGAACACCAGCGGCCCGCCGACGCGACAACGAATCGCATGTACATCTGCTCGCGGCATGCTGGATAGCTGCCCGAGCCTGCCGCGCTGCAATGACCTGGACCTCTTCGGCCGAGGCGACCGATGGCGTGCTCTCTACTGCAGACGCTGTGCCACGGCGGCCTCTGAATAGGCTCCCGGCCAGCCACCTGCAGCTCAAGAAAGCGGGCAGCACGAACGTGCCGATCAGCACTCCCAGCAAGAAGGTCACAGCGTGACTGCACCTGGAACTGACCAAGTGCACGATGCTGGCCCCTCCGACGTCGGGGCACACGAGAGACTGTAGCTGGGCGCGCACTCACAGGCGCAGGGAGGGCAGGCGGGCGGCGCGGCCGAGGTCGCCGACCACACCACAAGGGCCTGCGATGCCCCGCGCGCGAACTCTGCCAGGAAGCGCGTGGCGGCACACTGCATGCCCCTCAAAAGCTTGAGCACAACGGTTGCGGTCGTGCGGCCGCTCATCCTCTTCCCCAGCA